AAAATTAAATAAAATATTTCTTAAAATACAACAAGAAGGAAGGAGGGAAGGAAAGAAAGAAGGATTCCTATCTATAACTAATAGGAAAGAGTACCTCTAATCACTGGAGGGGGGGAGGCAAATACAGTGAAAAGAGAGGAAGATATGTTTAGAATTTACCAAAATGGCAAGAAGGTATTCTATTTAGCTATTAAATTATTTCTCAGACCTTTAAGTCTGTATCCATGGAGATGATTTCTATGCTGTCCATTACTGCAACTGAGGAAAATAAAAACCCGTAAAGTGGTCATAGACCTGACCGCCTGTAGATTTCATCTTACTCAAAAAATAAAATTTACTCAAAATAATTAGAAAATAGGAAGGCTCCAGGGCGCCTGGGTGGCTCAGTTGGTTAAGCGACTGCCTTCGGCTCAGGTCATGATCCTGGAGTCCCGGGATCGAGTCCCACATCGGGCTCCCTGCTCGGCGGGGAGTCTGCTTCTCCCTCTGACCCTCTCCCTTCTCATGTACTCTCTCTCTCTCTCTCTCTCATTCTCACTCTCTCAAAATAAATAAATCTTTAAAAAAAAAAAAAAGAAAAGCGGAAGGCTCCAGAAGAGGTGCCACAAATATTAACTGCAAAAGGATTTCAGAGAAAGGCCATATGTGAGTCTGTGGGGGCAGGAAATGGAGTGAGTGGTAAGGGGTCGCATCTCAGGGCAAGGGAGAGCTTGAAAGGAAGCCGAGCGGAGAGGACAGGAGGCCACGGGAAATGAAGGGTATACACAAATTAAGCAGGGAAGTGACACTGCAAGCCGCAGGAATTAATGGGGAGTAAGGCAGCCACATAAAGCTGAGTTCTACAGTTATTTCTTGACGAAAGAAACTGTGATACAGTAAGAGCGAGGGCTCTGGGACTGGGGCTTTGAGCCAGGAAGACCTGGGTGTGTCCCCCAGCTTGACCACTTCCTGTGTGACCGTGAGCAAGTATTTAAGAGCCCTGAGCCTAGATTTTCTTCCAGCAAATGGAGAGGTCTTGGGCATATCAGAGACAAGAGTACAGCCTGCTCAGAGGTATTTAACAGCTACTATTATTATTATGGTGGTGTCTACACAGCTCAACACACACCATCTGATTTTTTAACAAGTACAAAATGACTGGCCAAAAAAGTACCCCAGCCTGGTCAACCATGCTGATAAAAATTATCTTTAAAAATCTTACAAATAAAGGGATGATTGCATGGCCTTTTAGTATTTTACTGGAACACTGCTAACAGCCTCATCCAAACATTACTTAGCTCTTTAGGGAGACATAGTTATTTTTTGTCTTGTCACCTACTCTTAATTAGGCCCAACCTCTGTGACATAAGGTGTTACTTTCTGGATTCTGGTGTGATCAAGATGCACATGATTCCTGTGCAGTAGAAAACATAACCATAAAGGGTATGGTTTTACTGTTTTGTAGGACATTAATTAGCTTTGCGTCTAATCCAGCAAGATTATTCGGCAGCAGGTCCTGGTGGACCAGACAAACACTGTTGCTCTAATTCTCTTCCAAACCAGTTTTATCATCTAGCCAGCTCCCTCATTAAGCAATTAAACAGAGTTCTGTCGTATTTTCATTTTATATCTGTGTGAGAGTCACGCCTTTAATATTCTGAAGATTATATTTTGACAATGACTTGGTTGACCGGTTGAGCCAAAAAGATAGGGTTGGTTGGGTTTTCCAAACAGCTGTGCCATTCCTACATACAGGCACCAATTTAGTAAAAAGTAAAACAAAATAAAAAAGAAGGTACAAAGCCATCTTATTTTCAATTAAAAGGTACCGCTGATTAAAAAAAAAAAACCTTCTAGGTTTTCTGTCATACCCCCAGTATTCACTGAAAAAACGCTGTAGGATTGACCAGGGTTACAGGGTGTGGTGATGCAGGTAACAAAACAAGGAATCTCTAACTACATGACTCATACCTTGGTTTGGAAATGGATTCTATTTCCTTCCTTCCACATCTCAGTTTGTAGAGTCTGTCCTGGATACACTGGTTTTGCAAAACGAACCTTTAAAAGGAATGAGTTTGAGGGTTACACGTGTTTTAAAATGAAACCTTCCTACTTGTGGGGACAGAAATTCAGATGGATGTTAGAGAACATAAAAGGAAGAAAACAGAGGTTTAAATACATTTAAACTCATACAGGAACACAAATAGTAGTATGATAAAATTAAGACAATGGATATAGTTTGTATAAGCTAGTTTATGTTTCAAAATAAAAGAGTCCATAACTAGTCTTTAATCTTGACAAAGCAAGAAACAGAAGCACCATCATGTTAAGGAGAGTGATACAGGTACCCCCAGGACAACATAAAGGATGCAGCTGAAAGTGGTACCAAGCACGTCTGGGGAATAAGATCTGGGATGGCATGCGTGACAAAATAGTGCCACTTCTCATTTCATCATTTTCTCTACCACTGTATTTGCTGTGTACACAGGATTATGTAATAATACAAGTAGTTATAATAAAGTGAAAATCATGCAAATAATCAGTGTTACTACAGGCAGCACATCAGAAAATGCATTCTCACTGCTGCACAGAGCACAAATCGATAAAAGCTTCTGGAGCTATTTGACACCGTCTTAAACGTTGTTTTCAGTGTCTGTCTTTTGACGTACACCTCCACAAAGGTACTGTGTGCAGAGACAGGGGTTTTTTGTCATTTATAAGGGATGAAAATGTGAAAATCAGTAAGCAGCCATCATGCCGACACTGGTGTATGTTTCTGAGAGTTCAAATGCAGCCACTTAACATTTTTAATTAAGTTAGAGCAAATTACAAAAGAGTGAAAAAAAAAGTAAATCTCAAGTTTCTGTTAATGCCTATAGGCTGACGTGGGTATGCTCCCGATTAATTTATGAAGCAATCCAATTAATCTGTTGAAATTATAATTGCATACAATATCCTCATGGCGTAAGTGTGAGAGGTATTTATAGCTGCAATACGAACACATGCTGATTGCCCAGTCAGTGAAATAACAGAAATGTGTATTGTTTCAGTACGGTACCTATATTAAGTCACTAAAACTCCTTTTCTGCTCTAAAAATAAAAAAGGAACTAATGTTCAAATTACACAATAATACACACATACCTTAATTGCCTTGAATCGTGACACATCATTGTCTGCAAACTGCTGTAAAACATGCCTGGCAGAAAATCCAAATGTACATAATCCATGTAATATGGGCTTGTCGAAACCTAAAAAAAAGAAAGAGAATTTGGTTAGACATAGGCACATTTCCTGTTTAAAAGCCAAGGATAATTAATTCAGGATTTCAAACGGCACTCAGATGAATTATACCATCTATTTTAAGAAACGTGGAAAAGAGTTTGTAAAAAATACTTCTGGGGGGAAAACTATGAAATAAACAAACAGAGAAGAAACAAGAAAGGAATGCATGTTAGAGATGTGGGAACACAAAGAACTGTTACGTTTAGCTGGGGCTGTACCCATGAAGTCATCCATACTGATTTCAGTATCAGATGATCCCTCTGTCACCTCAGGCCCTTGCTCTCACCTCCAACGTCCTTGCCTGTCAGGAGAACTCAGACACCCGCCCACACGATCGGATCGAAAGTCTGCACTAGCTTCCCTCCTCCACAGTCTGAATTATGAACTCCAAGCACCCCATCCTCGGAACCCTGTATCCTGCCCTTCCCCATCCTTAGCATCAATGTGTTAGGGGAGGGCCATTTTTAAAATATTACTCAAACTAGCTCTCCTAAGTAGCAATGTCTCTAAGTGTTATTTAGATGACCACGCTAGTAGTTTTCATTGGTACATATCATGAGCAACTCACCTGCGAAACCAGCGAAGTTAGGATCGATGTGTAAGGGATTCCAGTCGCCACTGAGGCGGTACAAAGCAGCCTGCAGAGAAAGAATTATAAAAGCAATGAGCTATTCTCAGTAACTAGTTTCTGAGAAGACATTAAAAGAAAAACAGGATATATGGCCGGTTATTAAATAAGAAACATATTCTAAGTGAAGCTCTGATTTTAAAAAATAACTATTTCTAACACAGAAAGATGAACTGTAAATCAAATGTGTTTTGTAACACCTGCCACTGAACCCAGCTGGGGAGGAGGTGACCCATCAGACAATGGCAAGGGGAGCCACGAACTACATCTGGACAAGGAGCAAGTCACAGAAATGAATCTGTCAATCTACTCATTAAAACACGACGAAGATAAGGTAGATACGTACAGCCTCTTCTAACCAAGCAAAACTTAGGTCAACTTTCTTAACGGGGTAATTTGAAATGAAGCCTGTAAACGAACAGTAGACACATAAACATCAAAGACGAACGTCGACTTTCACTCTCCTGGTACCCTAAATCCTGAGCATGAGCTCATCCTGCAAGAAAACAGACTGACAGGTTGCCGGGGAGATGAAATTTCTACTTAGGCCAGATTTTCCTGTCACTTCTTTACTTCAATGAGGCAGGAGGAGCAGAATGATACAGAAAACAACAGGGAAAAAGCCGCCATAGCTCCCAGCATTTAACTTGTTTAGCGTTCAAACTTTTCAGTACTGACGGGGAGAGACTCACCAAACAGCCAACAGCTAGTATTCTGTGTATCTTTGTTTAACTCTCCCCCTCGGACCTGCCTCGGTACTTTTGCCCTTTCTCATCAGTTGCTACATCAGGCTTTCCAAGACTGTTGATATGCTGCATAAAGACTCATTGTGTCAGCATATCTGACTTTCTTAATTACCGGATTCTTATTATTTTTAATTATTGATTCTTTTTTAATATGTTTTATTTCTAGAAAACATTTTCCATAATGCATAGGAAAATGCCATTCCTTTTTAAATACGCTTTGTACAATTTTAATAAGCTCTTTCTCTTCTCCATCTCTCTATGTAATAGTTCTATAAATGATTCATTTTCTCAATTACTCAACATTGTTCCCTTTAGATGGCCTTCTAAAAATAACTAAATACAAATCAACAATTATTGTATAGTGGTGACTTGCAAGATTCTGTGTCATATGTGAGAGGATTAAGTGATCATTTTTAAAAAGCACTTTGCAAACAATAAAACACTAGGCAAATATACAGGACTGTGTTGCATACAAATGAAAACAAAGATACATTTCAGAGCCTGAAGGGCAAGTTGTCAAACATGATGGATCATGGGCTTTGACGCCAGACAGACCTGGGTTCAGATCCAGCTCTGCCATTAATGTGTAAGTTTCCTTACCACCCTGAACCTCAATTTCCTCATTTCAAAAACTGAGAGGTAATACAGCTCTTACAAAGCACTATCCTTGATAAATATTTACACCTCAATAAATGTGAGCTCTTATTATTATTTTAAAAGGAATTAGCAACAGTATGCAGGCTGAAAGAAAGCCAGGCTCAAAGTAGGTGAGTAAATGCTTTATTCGTTGTCTTACTGAGGACTCTAGCCTGGGAAACAGTCTTTCAGATTGCTCTGAAGAACTGTCCTGAAGCTTGTTAGCTACAGGAGATTATATATACAAAAGGGGAAAGGGGAACACGTGCTTGCAAGCATTTCTCCAAATACTTGCATGTCATAAGGTATAATTTGTTATGAATGTAGAAATTAAGGTTTTTCTGATTTCCACACAGACAAGAGAAAGACCCTAGGGTCCTCGTAATACATGATGTTTCTATACATCTGATTGTTTAAGAAATACTGTTTGCAGGGCGCCTGGGTGGCTCAGTGGTTAAGCGTCTGCCTTCGGCTCAGGTCATGATCCCAGGGTCCTGGGATCAAGCCCTGCGTCGGGCTCCCTGCTCAGCGGTGAGCCTGCTTCTCCCTCTCCCTCTGCCTACCACTCCCCCTGCTTGTGTGCTCTCTCTCTTGCTCTCTCTCTCTGTCAAATAAATAAATAAAAATGTTAAAAAAAAATAAAAAAATAAAAATAAATAAATAAATAAATAAATAAATAAATAAATAATACTGCTTGCATGTCTCAGTTGAACTGGTTTTCTGGTTCCTCCTTTTTATTCCTCCTTGAGGTCACTTGAGGTCACATCTGTCACCTACAGCAGTGTTTGTGCACAAGGATACAACAACCAAGTTTTAAGATTAGTACCAGTCTTCTTACCCCACAGATATCATTCCTGTAAATGAAGAACAACTAATTCTCCTAAAGAAATCCTTTTAAAGGAATATGAAAATTTTCATATTATTTCAATGACAGTATTGCTTCCTATAGATGGCAGAGAAAGCAAAGACAGAACAGAGCCAGCATGAGACACGACTGAAGTCAAGGGATGGATGTTTTACTAAATTCAATCATAAATGCAAAAAAACTGTTTTCCAAATAATAAGGAACACCATCAAGGCTTACTTTCTGAATATTTTGACAGACATTCATATTTCAACTTTCAGAAGGAAAGCTAAAATCTTGTTTTTTGTTTCATCTCTGTCTAGATACAAAAATCACTAAAACTCACAAACACATGTACACACACAACTAAGAAAAACAGCTATAAATTGCCTTAACTTGTGTATTATATGTGAGTGGGAGGCTCTTTGACATATCAGGAAATTAGTTCTTAATTTTATTTTTAAAAATTGTATCATTAAGTTAAACTAAATGCTAAATCAAAAGGCTCAGAAATGTGCACTTGCCAAATCCTCACATGCTCCAAAAAAGCATACAGATCAACACGAAGAACAAATAAAACAGATCCCAAGCCTATATACAGTAACTGAAGATGGAGAACACTGCCAACTTCAAATTGCTATCCACAGAAAAATAAGCACCAATTTCCAGCAGAGCTACCTTCTGAGCACCCTCTCAAAGCTACTGGAGAGAGCGGAGGGGGTCAGAAGGGGAGCGCAGAAGCAGTGTGGAAGAGAGGAGAGGAAAAGAGAGAAAAATCACTTCCAGAAAGTCCCCCTTAAGGAAAAAGAAAAGTCCTGAGGAGAATCCTGACAGATGAGAGCACGGACTACAAAGAAAAGAATTAGAAGTGTATAGGCCTCCAAGTGACAGTCCAGAAAGGCAACATTTCTGGGGGAGAAGAGGATAAAACAAAGACGTCCGCTTTCAAGACTGGATAATGTAGGAAAAAAGAAGCAAGACAGTTAATTTAAGATAAAGAGAACTAAAAAAAAAAAAAATGATTTTAATAAAACAGCTCCTGGGGCACCTGGGTGGCTCAGTTGTTAAGCGTCTGCCTTCGGCTCAGGTCATGATCCCAGGGTCCTGGGATCGAGCCCCGCATCGGGCTCCCTGCTCCACGGGAAGCCTGCTTCTCCCTCTCCCACTCCCCCTGCTTGTGTTCCCTCTCTCGCTGTATCTGTCTCTGTCAAATAAATAAATAAATAAAATCTTAAAAAAAAATAAAATAAAATAAAACAGCTCCTGACAATGTCCCACTCCAAAAAGCCATCTCTCAAAGAAAACACACTTTGCCGCATTGACGAAGTGGGCAGTCCTGAATTCCTTAACGAGAGAGTCTTGTAAACCATCACAAACTACCAATCTTACCCACAAACTGCGAACAGGTAAGCAGCCTCCATCTGTAGAAAGCTACTGTAAGACTAACAGAGGAAATAAGAACCAAAGCATTACAATAAATGAAATTTCCCCAAACAAAACAACTACCAAACAGAAGAAAACTATAACACAACACTCAAGCATTTGGGGATATGAAACAAACACCATGAATCTAAAACTCAAAAACCAAGAACATCAAACGGACAACAAACATGAAGGAATGAAATAAGATAGGATTAAACTCAGGAAAGAAAGGGAAGGGGGGAAATTCTATCGGTAATGAAGACTAAGTTATAAGATGTCTACGGGCGCCTGGGTGGCTCAGTCAGTTAAGCACCTGACTCTTGGTTTTGGCTCAGGTCATGATCTCAGGGTCGTGAGATCGAGCCCCGCATGGGGCTCCGTGCTCAGTGGGGAGTTTGCCTGAGATTCTCTCTCTCCCTCTGCCTGCCACCCCCCCTCAAATAAATAAAATCTTTAAAAAAAATTAGAAGATGCCTAGAGGGAAACATATGCAAATCAAAATTTAATATGGGACATAAAAGAAAGGGAGGGAAAGAATCAAGAGAACAGAAATGAGACCAAGAAGGAAGTAAAAAAGGCAGAGACAAAGTGGCTAAAAGAAGACAGAAAAAGATCCAACACACATAAGACTGAAGTACTTAAGAAAAACAAAAGAATGAATGAGAACTACTATTTAAAATTATAGAAAACTTGCTGAAAAGAAAAGAAGATGTAAATATACCTATTAAAAAGGCCTACCAGCGGCATGGGGAAATTGACCAGGAACAGGCAACACTGAGACACAGCCTAATAGAACTATCAGGCTTTAAAGATAAAGAAAAATAGGGGTGCCTGGGTGGCTCCATCAGTTGAGCGTCTGACTCTTGATTTCAGGTCACGATCTCAGGGTCATGAGATAGAGCCCTATCAGGCTCTGTGCTGAGCATGGAGCCTGCTCGGGATTCTCTCTCCCTCTCCCTCCACCCTCCCCACTGCCCGAGCACTCACTCACTCTCTCTCTCTCTCTCTCAAAAAAACATAAATATTTATAAAAAAATATATATATATATATATATATATATGAAACATATCCTAAGGGCTTCAAGGATAAAGACCAAGTAACTCAGAGAAAGATAATTAGGCTGGCATCAAAATTCTCAAAAGCCACATATAAAAGCAAGGTAATGACAGAACACCATTTTTGAGAAACTCAAGACTTCATATCCAACCGAGTTGTTCTTTAAGCATCTAGGGTATGGAAAAACGGTTTTAAATACACAGGAACCAAAGGAACACTATATACATGAGCCCTTCTTCAGGAATCTACCACAGGAGGAGTTTTATCCAACACAAAGGTGACAGGGCAACATTGAGCAAAAGGACTGATATAATCATTTGCAAATCTAAGGGAGGCATTGTTCTTCAACATTGCAGAGCCAGCAGTTTTGTGTCTCTTGATAGAAGAGATACAAACAGGAGAGCACAGCACTTTGCAGAACAACACTTTCAGACTGCAGGGCAAAAAGGGAGAGCCAAACAGAGCAAAACAATCTCAATGAGTTAAAGAGATAAAGATCAGAGCTCTGGGAGACTGTGCCCCTGGAATGTGTCTGCACTGGAGAGGGGGAAGCTACAGAAGAGAGCTCCAGAAATCTAAACAGACGTTGGCCCCCTTGAGGGCCCTAGTAGAGAAAGGCCCTGGGAGATGAGCCATCACATGAAGAAAGAGGCCTTGCGGAGTTTAGAGGCACTCCGGGCAGAAGTCAGAACAAAGACCCTACACTTATCAAAGATGTCATTTTGGACCTCCTGGCCCGGCCCGGCCACCATCGGAGAACAGCTACATGAGTGAAGGCAGAAGGAACATCCAGGCAACAAACAGAATCATAAAAAAACAAACAAAAAAGGTACTACTTATTATACACCTGGTAACTTAATAAAAAATATTTTAATGGATGGTATAACCAATATACCCAAGACTAACTCTATTTAAGAGTCTCATGCTCTACCGACTGAGCTAGCCGGGCGCCTAAGACTAACTCTATTTAATAATGATAGTAGCTAATGTTAGAATAAGTGGTATAAAATATGTATCTATCTGGGGCAACTAGATGTTTGGTTCATTCTCCCCAACTGTAAAGCCTGACATCTAATATCTATTTCTTCTTGTCTTTCTAGATTACTAAGGATGCATTTTCTACTTATTAATTATGAAAAACGACAGAGGACACCTGTAATGTCATACCAGTTTGAAGATGAAGAAATGCTCCTAAAGACATGATAAACAGACCATCCCAGAAGAGATACGGGGTAGAGCTAAAAATATGATTGCCAGTTTCCTTAGTGACCAAAAAGTTACTGATTTAACATAAACACCTAGCACAGAGTTGACGCTATAATTGCATCATCTTTTCTTTCCTTCCCCTTCTCCTTCTGGATCTGCCCCTCCACAACCATCTCCCACTCCTGTCTCATGTGGTCGCTCCCATTCTCAGCCCTCCTGCAGCGCCGTGCTCTCCTCCTCTCTTTCAACGAGCTCTCCTTACTTCTCATCCCTGGCCCGGCCAAACTGCAAGCCCTACATCTCTGGCTACACCCCACGTTAGCCCAGCTAAGTGCCAGCTCTCCTACCAGAACCTTCCGAACACCATTCCCTCATGAGTGTCCCTTCTCAGAATGTCCACAGCACTTACACACCAATTCAAAGCCCGTGTTTAATCATTCGCTGCTTGGAACGGGTGCCCTAGTTGTTCCGACATTTACATCCTGAGTATCCAAGTGTCCTTTCATCTCCATGACCACAGATCACATTTCTTCCACTTGATCTGGAGCTCCTATGGCACCGATTCAGTTTAAAACAGCCCTAAATCCCTTGAAGCGTATGCAAAGTTTTATGAAAAATGGCTTTTGAAGAAATAGAATGTGGCTTTCATCGTACTCTCAAATGACCATAAGAGACAAAATGCTCAGTCAAATGATGGGTGCCCGTTATTTACACCAAAAATATTTGTTAACTTAAAAACTGCCCTTCATCACACAGCAAAAGAGTCAATTCTGCACTAACGAAAAGTTCTACTTCTCTGAAAAAGAGTAAAAGAACAACAAAAAAAATCTCTCAACTTACTGTGTGTAGAAATTCAAGCCTTGGAAACTATTCAGCTTTTCTTATCTACAGCAGATACCTTTCGTTATTTCAGTAACCCAAGAATAATAAAAGGAGCACTGCTGGGTTTTCCGAACCCAGGAAATCACCAAGCCTTTTCTGTCCTTTTAGTGTCTTAATAAAATTAATTTCACTATGATGCTTTAATTAAACATAAATATGGGTGCATTCTTAAGAAATGGGTAAGAAACGGGGATGGGGAAAACACTGAAAGGCAAAAACGAATCTCAGGGAAAAAAAAAAGTGTTCTTCTTTCCATCACCTGACTCCATACTGCAGAAAAAAAAAAAAAAACACAATTACATATTTACTGATCTTAATTCTTCCTGGCTCATGAAATTATATTACTCTTTGCCCGCAAACATAAATCCTGCAGAAGTTCTCGTATCAAGCATATCAAAATTAGCATCAAAAACAACATAAACATAAATAATTTGCTGTCCTTACAGATGCTCCCTCACAGAGGACCATCAGAGATTTATGTATTCTGTTCTCTATCTGCATGCTTCATCCTCTGGCCACTGCAGGGAAGATTCTTCGGGGACTCACACGAAGTGGCCTTTTGCATCTTCATGGTTACCTTTCTTTTTTTTTTTTTTAAGATTTATTTATTTATTTATTTATTTATTTATTTATTTATTTGAGAGAGAGAGAATGAGAGATAGCACGAGAGGGAAGAGGGTCAGAGGGAGAAGCAGACTCCCCGCTGAGCAGGGAGCCCGATGTGGGACTCGATCCCGGGACTCCAGGATCATGACCTGAGCCGAAGGCAGTTGCTTAACCGACTGAGCCACCCAGGCGCCCTACCTTTTGTTTCTAAAATCAATCTTCGTGTGCTCACAGAATCTGTCAACTCATTTTATCTCCTCCATCAGAAAACAAATTATTTATGCCAAACAAAGGTGATTAAACCACCTACCCTTCCTAAGATGCTTTCTTTTTGCCTGGCCACTAAAACTGGCCTAAAATAATCTGTTTTCAAGCAATGTAGCTCAATTTTCTTTCCGGAAAGAGAAAAAGGTGACTAAAATTTCCCTTCTATTCCTTTTTATCCTGCCCACCAAGGTCTCAATGAAATTCTTCACTACTAAGCGAGGCAGTCTCTTTAACCCCTTGCCAACAAAGCAAACAGGGGCTTTATCACTTTTGGAAACTACGATCTTACCTGATTAAGGGAGGTGGTATCTCTAAGCACGGCATCGGGAGGTCTATTAGGCACGGCTAAAGCTACCTGAAATCAAAGAACATCACACGTTAAATACTAACAAAGTAACAGTCACTCTCGTCACTCAAACTGGTATTTGATGAACAGCCATGTTTCAATGTAATAAAATCAGCAAGTTGGATAAAAAGCTTGTAAAAATATTTCCTGCTCAGGAGATAACATTTCAAATTTCCTAAGTGCTGGCCTCATCTGTGTGATTTCCCCGAAATGATCCGTTTAATGAAAGGAATTATACAGCTGGATCCATTCTCCAGGCCACAAAGGAGAAAGAGGTGAAGACTCTTCTCCCAGGGCAAAAGGCGATAATAACTGTAAAAATCAGACGAACAACTCAAACCTAAATTGATTTCTTCTTTAAATGGACTTTACTAAGGGTGTGGGTCTCTCTCAGTTGGCTGAGACTCTTGGATGTATGGATTAAAGTTCTTCATCAAAACCAGTATTCCTTCCAACATTTGGCCTGTTTCTCTCTCTGCTCTCTCGCTCGTACTCCCACCACACGCAGCTGCTACGCTTGAGGTATCCCACGTTTCCCTGAGGTTCTGCATTCTCTTTCTTTCCTCCATCTTTTTTCTCTTTGTTCTTGAGACTGATGTTGGTAGGGAGGTAGACAAATGGACAAAGAGAGAGACAGTTCTTCAAGCTTTCTGATTCCTCCTTCTGACAGTTCAAGTCTTCTGCTGAGCACTCTAGAAAATTCTTCCTTTCCCTCATTGTACTTTCAGCTCCAGGATTTCTGTTTGGTGCTGCTACATAATTTCTCTTTATTGATTTTCTCTGAGAGTCACTGCCATCACATGTGACTTCCTTCAGCATGCTCTCCTTTATCTCTGAACACATTTAGAATAGCTGCTTGGAAGTCTTCGTATATGAAGAAGACCTCTCAAAGGCAGTTTCTCTTGCCCGTTTTGTTCTGGTTTTCTTTTCCTGTCTCTGGACCACGTGCTCCTGTTTCTTGTGTGTCTTGTAATTTTTTGCTGATGACTGGACACTTTAGATAACCTGTTACAGCAACTCCGGACACTGACCTCCTTGCCCCTCGGCAGGCTTGTTGTGACCAGTCACTAGTTTCTTTGTGCAGTGCCTTGGCTAGACTGTTTTAGCTAAGTCTACAGTCCCCCACCGTTAGCAGCCTCTGGTGGTGCTCCTCAGAGCCTCGGGCAAGAACACAGTCACCCTGGGAGCTCCACGTTATTAGCAGGGGTCTCTGCAGGGGTCTCTGCGACTGTCTCTCCTAGAGCTCTCTGTTCAATTGTCTGCCTTGTTTGGTAACATAATACCTAACTGTTAGGCTCCACACGCCAGATGATTGCTCTATTATTTTCAACAGTGCCATGGGGCATAAACGGCTCTAAAGACAAGCCTCTTCACAGAGCTAGTCTTTGAAGCCAGGCTTTGAGGTTTTACGATCCCATGAGGACTCTCCTGAGCTCTGTCTCCATGGTTCTCTCTAGTAAACTTCTAATTGGGCCAGTTGTTAGCTTCCTGCTCTCATGGAGCTTACCAGCCTCCTCTTGATTGTTTATCACTAACGTGATCTAGTTTCTATGGGCACCCTTCCTTTTGAATTTCCAAATACTCTGTTCCATGACAAGTCAGTTTCCTCGGAAGAACCTCGGCCACCTCTTATCACGACAGCCTGCCTTACCCCCTGGGCAAAACCCCTCCTCGACTGCAGTAGGGGGAGGGGCAAAGAGAGTGGCCCGCTCATCTCCAGGTGACAGCCTCACTTTACAAGAAGTGGTGTTGGGCAAGGCAAGTAGCTACTGGTCTCCTCAGCTTTCCTCTTCCAGAATCTTGCAAGCTGGGGCAAGAGGGAGTGGGGCCTGAGCCCACCCTCTAAGTGGGAGCTGGACAGAGGACAAGAATCCCCTGACCCTGGGCTATTTCTACCTCAAAGAGCTTCAGCAACACAAGTCGGGCGTGGCAGCAGGGTAAGAAAAACTAATGACCTCCTCCTCCTGGGAAGACAGCATGGCCCTATTCTGGAAGCCAGGGCAGATGGATCATGTGTTTTGGCGGCACACGCCTGGAGTGGAGCTTGCACCAGGCTGAACCAGGCTGAACCAGCTTGCACCAGGCTGAACTGCCCTGAGGACAATTCCCAGACACTTCAAATGTTTGTTTCAATTTTTACCAGTTACAATGCCATGACCGTTTCACCGGGGAGAGGGTCCAGGGAACTCCTCACACCGTCGTTCCAGAAGCAGTTTCTCCATACTGCTGTAAGTATACTTTATCTACTCCAGAATATTTATTATAGTAGAATCTTATTACCTCAAAACACATCAGAGGTAAAGCCCAGGTTGAATCAGTGTCAAATCCAAGTTATAAAGTACTTTTAGAAAAAAATGTTTTTAGGTAGAATTTGAGAACTAAAGAATAACTAGCATTGTCTTACATAAAAGAAATGCTTAAGTCATTTAATAAAGATTTTATTTTATACAAGGATCACTTGCATGCACTGGGTTTTTCTAAAGACTTCTGGGTGCTACAAAATTTGTATAAGAAACTAAAAATATTCCCATAATTATCTCAGGTACATTATATTTTTATCAGCCAGACTTTTCTATATACAACATGTGTTACCGATCAAAATATCCACACATAAACAGCACTTCCAATCCAAGAAGCGTAATCTGATTCAAAGAAGTGTGAATTACTGAGGACCTATGCTATGAAATTATACATATGGTAATATGTGTAGTTTGCACATACAGTAATATGTGCATTCAAAATATAGATAAGGACACCTAAATACCCATATATTTTGCTTATAAGGCCAGAGCCTACCTTGACTTTGTTTGACGTCCGTTTTCCACCAAAGCCTCCAGAGCCAACAACGAAAATAGAGAACTGATTATAACATACAAGTTCCTCCTCAAAGTAAGAATAGACTGAAAAGCAAATGAAAGCAAAAATAAAGTTATTCTCAAAAGACATGACTAGTTAACCAATATATGATCAGCGATTCCTTTCAAAGTTTGGTTTACAAAGCATGATTTCAATTCGTTCACTACCAGTCTCTGGAAGGCAGAGTGAAGAGCACCTTCACAAACCCTCGCTTCATCACGAAACAGCATCTCTCGCCTCTTCTTAAACCTCAACTGCCTATTGTACCTCAACTCTCTCCATCTCAAACATTTCCAAAAATCCCACCATGAAATGCAGGTATCCACACTCTCAAACACTCACACGTTCTGCCAAAGGACTCAAAAAGAGCCTGGAGTATAAAAGAAATAGTGAGAATGAAGGTGTAAGACTCAGGAGAGGAGAATCATGGCGTTTTCCTCACCATCCTATTCCCAGCAAACAGAATGGTCCCTGGGCCTGAAAAGGCACCCAATAAATATTTACTAAATTAACGAGTGAATTAACGAATATATGACATGAGTGAGCAAGTCAGTGAGTGAGTAATGGATGAATGCAGGACAACTATCCCTCTTCCCACTAACTAATTTCCCAGTGACAGTATGAGTACTATCTTGTATCTCCAGCTCTAGAAAACTAGAAATATGACTTTGAATGGCAGATTAAGCAAAAATCTAATTACAATAAAAAATAAGGAAGGTCATGGCAATTTATATTTAAAATAAGATTTTTCTCTTCATTACACAGGAAATGGGATGTCTCATTTCATATACACTTTGTCTACAAATTCTAATACATTATTACCCATTACCAAGCTGGAGTTAAATCAACGGTGTAGGTCAAGGGAAAAGAGTAAACAGGGTAGCTAAGGTCACGGCAGAACCTCTGTTTTGTGGTATGTTACGTATTTGGTAGCATGGGGAGGAGAGTAAAAGAAAACTAGGAGAGCTGAAGCCAAATGTTGGCCAACTTCAGGAATGACAAGAAAACACAAAAACCTACAACAGAAAAGGGAGGATGAAGAGGAAGAGGAGAAAGAGAAAAAGAGAACAGACATACGATGAAATTCTATGAGCTAACACAATGTAGTAGAATATTTAAGAGCATCAAAATTGTTCTCAGCATATTATTTAGTAAAAACAAGACAAGCTCCTCAACAGCATATAGAGTAAAACTTTCTATTTATCTATTTAGAACAAAAATGGTGAAGCCTATATTCCAACTATCAGATAATATTAAACTTTCCACTATAATTTATTTCCAAATTTTTTAACAATAAAGATCTATTTCTTATCTTCTTAAACTTCAGAATAAATGAATTTTAAGCGATGGATCTTTAGCCAATGTTAATTACTAGCATTTCAACATTTATTAAACTACTGTAACCTTTTCTTTCCCCACTGCAAATAAAATGTGGCTCAGGTGTTGAAGCCGCATTTGAGTTCAACAGGCCTGAATGCGCAACATTAGGAACCTAACTACCATTTATGAAAATGTCTCAGGAGTCAAATACGTTCCAAGTTCCAAAGAGCTAACAAAGACAAGAATATCTACAATATAGGCTCATTATCAACCGATGGCTGTCGATGTGTTCCTTCCCGCGAAGTCCGTACTCCAGCAAGCTAAGCTCACCACCATGCTCTGTATACCAGCCACACCTCTCACCTCTGTGCTTTGGTCCTGTGTCGGAAACGGCCCAGTCTTCCCACCCCTACCCCAACCCACTCCTTCTCCCCATCTTCGCTTCTTTTCTAAGAACTTACAAATTTTTAGAATGCTTATCTTGTTTTCTCACAAACTAGAAGATGAACACAAACTCAATGATCAGATTCTAGGGTGAAGCATTAGGTTACATACGAGGCCTATTAATCTAACAATATCATGAGAAGAATTGGAAGTGAGTTACCATCCACAAGAATTACTAGACCGGATCCTTTATCTAGGACATCAGCAATGACTGCTTCACATTTTAAGTTTCCTAAAATGAAAAGCAAAATAAATAAATAAATAGAAACTTTTGAAGACCGTCAAGTTATTGCATCCAGATAGGAGAGAATGTAACATAATTTCCACTGTAAGTTCAGGAAAACTAAAAAGTTATGCTTTGAAATAATTTTCAATATAATGCTGAATAATTCAACATTAAAAGGAAACAGCATACCTAAGTCACTACATTTGAAACAACAAGTAGCAACATAAGATCAAACTTTTAATACCCAGAAAATCTAAGGACCAGCATACCCCAAACTCGATGGAAAATAAAGTGCTGCGGTCAGGTTTCTTGTATTCAATCTAATGCTTATTTTTTTTAACCCAAGGAGGGGTCACTCAGCCTCTGACTGTGCCACCGCAGCTAACAAATGAACTGAGACACAGAGATGCTGACATCAGTCTCCCGATGTTTGTGGCCTTATGTCTCATCACCTAAGTTTTAAGGGAAGATCATAAATAGCAGTCATACCTTGATTTTCTACAGTTTAAAGAGGTTCTTAAACTTAAGCATCTCAGATTTTGAATATTCATATTTACTAGAAAGGAAACCTTAACACTACTTAAAGAAAATGTACAGAAGCTACTGAACAAAAATAAATCATGAGAAACATCACTTGAGACTAGGAAGGTACAAGAAATTGAGAGAAATATTTTCCACACCTTCCTATTCATATCTCTTTTCAGTTGTAATCATTTTTTTTTAAGATTTATTTATTTATTTTTGAGAGAGAGCACACGAATGTGAAAGCAGGGGAAGGGGCAGAGGGAGAGGGAAAGAGAATCTCAAGGAGACTCCCCACTGAGCATGGAGCCTGATGCGGGGCTCGATCCCAGGACCCTGAGATCACACCTGAGCCAAAATCAAGAGCTGGACGCTCACCCAACTGAGCCATCCAGGCACTGCTGTTGTAATCACTTTTGAGTATATGCCTCTAGCTCTGTCTTCAGATTTAAAATCCCTACTAAAGGCAGAAATCTCACACATTTCTGCTTTCCGCATTGCACTAGTTCCCAAGTGAACCCATGTCAGGCTGGTGACACACTCAACAGAGAGGGACCCTCCGGGCCTCTGCCACGGCCCCCAGCACCACCACCACACCGCACGCACACGACACATGCACTCACACAAAACCTTCGTATTTTATGTAAAAAAACAGGTAGGGGCACCTGGGTGGCTCAGTCCGTTAAGTGTCCAACTTTTGATTTCAGCTCAGGTCATGCTCTCAGGGTTGTGGGATCGAGTCCCACATAGGGCTCCACGCTGGGCATGAAACCTGCTTGGGATTCTCTCTCTCCCTTTGCCCTTCTCTCCACTCTAAAAAAAAAAATGAAATATGGGCGCCAGGGTGGCTCAGTCGTTAAGCATCTGCCTTCGGCTCGGGTCATGATCCCAGGGTCCTGGGATTGAGCCCCACATCAGGCTCCCTGCTCAGTGGGGAGTCTGCTTCTCCCTCTCTCACTCCCCCCACTGCTTGTGTTCCCTCTCTCGCTGTCTCTCTGTCAAATAAATAAAATCTTTAAAAAACAAATAAATAAAATAAAATGAAATAACAGATAATATAATATGATGTAGTAACAGGCTGTTTCAGTATGTAGCCAGGTTAGAGAACTCATCCAAAACTGAAAACTGTGCCTTGCCCACGGCAGGTGACCAGCGGAGACTTGACGAAGGAGGTTGCCACACGCTGGGCACCGCCTCACAGAAAACGTAGGCTGTAACACTGAAATAAAGCTATTTGGCTCTACGCAAGGAGAAGCTCACAAAATTTTTAGTAAAATAAGAAGAACTGGGGAGACATTAAAGGAGAAGTCCAGCTACTTGCTGACCTCTACATTATATAATGTGAAACGATAAACACTTTTTTTGTACTTTCCATCTTATGTGGTATTTAATTAGACAATATGCTGGCCTTAGAGCAGTGAAACAAAACAAATCTATCAAATTACAGTGGAAGAATGAGAAAAGCAGTTTTACTGAACAAACATATTACTGAGGAAAAGAAAATTCATTATTAAGGCAGACGTGAATCTTATTTACTTTTTTTTACTTTTAGAAAAGAAAGCAGGAAAAAGTTAATTACAAGAAATTCTGTCTGTATCTTTTAATGTGGTTTGCTTTATGAAAATCACTACCAACATAAATACCTGAGAAAGGAATCAAAAACCATATTCATAGGAATCATAGCTGATTACACACAATTACCAAGTTCAGAACACACATACTTAGAAGAAACTTTCGGTTGTTAATAACACACACATCAATGGAGATAAACTGTCAGTATTCTGAAGTAATTTATTAAATTAGACTACTAAAGGACAAAGTCTAAGGTCACCAAAGCAGCTACTCCTTAACATCAATTTACTCTAACGGCTGACAAGCCATTCAATACCTTGCCATATGATTTATTTAAGTCACTCTGCACCAGCTTAACACAATGACACAGTATGGAAGGTTAGTCAGGAAATAAAATGAGGGTATGATTAAGAAATCAGTGCTTCACGCACTCACCTGCTCTGGGAAGTGGTTTATATAACTCCAAGTATTGCTCCCCGTGGAGAACCTATGTCAGAGTAAACAAAATTGTATTAGCAGACTTTCATGTCTCACAGGTTCTGCTGTGAATATTGCTAATCACAAGTGATATTTCACAGCCCACATGCTCACATCACTACTTCCCCCAACTTATCTGTCTCAGTTTGGCTTCTACTTCTTAATCATATGATTCAAAATTAATCAGTCCCCCAATCTAAAGACTGTCAGATCTTTTGGAGCACAAAAGATACCTTTGTGTTCTTTCGTGACATTCACAAATCTTTGTTGACTGCTAATTATGGATTGTTTGCCAATGCAAACACTAAACTAGGCTATATTTCCAGTGCTTACCACTGTGCCTGGAACATACTGGGTAATTAATAAATATCTGTTAAATAAAAATGAACAAACTGTCCAGTGCAAGTAAAGTAATTTCAAATCACACATACCACATACAAACAACTCAACTAAAACATGAAAGTAAACCCTACGACACATTCAAAGTAAAAAACTATCACGGTCCACATTTCCTTGGTGTAATATCTTATAAATGATCTATATCTATAGATATAACCATAGATACATGTGCATCCATAAGATGTATCTTATAAATTATCTATTAGTAGATACCAAGGACACTGTGTAACTTGATAGCCCCTTAACCTCAATGGATGGAAACACGAACACACCAGTACATGTAGGAATAACAGGACAAGAAAAACAAGACCTGACCCACACAGTCAAATGACCACACCCCACCGGCAGGGGGCAGCTTTAATTCTGCGTCTTCCTCCAAAGCCAGAAAGGAACAAATGGGACAAATGCAGGCCAGCCCACTGTATCACATGGCCTGGAAGCTTGAAGCTGGGAAGACGGGGGTTTCAATTCAAGATGGCTATTCTTCCCCGCTGAAGACTGTGAACACCATTTATGATTGTTCCAATTCCTTCCAACTCTGAAGGAGTATTTGCAGAATTCTGAAACATTTGCTTTAATTGTTTGTACTTCAATTATCCAAACAGAATACCATGGCACGGGGACTAAAACAACAAACCACCTGGTACAATTCTCTTGTCTCCCTCCCAACTTCATCAGATGCTCAAATAAAATCATTTTTCACAGATTCAGAGCAGCAATGGGCTAACTGATCCTCTAGTAAATGGGTCCTCTAATTACCAAGGTCAGAGAAATTGGCTCACAGCTCTATGATTCAAGAGTTATCCCTGGGCTCAGTATCTGAACCCTACTCCAAAAAAATGAAATCTACCCCACCCCAAAAGCTTTCCCACAGTTGTTCGACTCCTTCCTTCCTGAAACAATTTGTTCACTTTGCTTCTCAAATACCACATCCTCCTGATATTCGTCAGAGCTTAGACCTCACCGGCCATTCCTTCTCAGTCTCTCTTGCTAATTCTTCCTCATGTCTTCACCTTCTCAACACTTGCAGGGTCCCTGAGCTCAGGCTCTTCTCTACTTACACTCATACATTACATGATTTCATCTCGTCTGGTGTTTTTACACATCGTTGAAAGCCTAAGAACCCCAGTGAGACCCCTCCCCCAAACTCAAGACTCACATATTCAACTACCCATTTTATAATTTTATACCTCCACCTGAATAAGTTAATAGAATCTCAAGTCATCCCCACCTTAAAGTAATTGTATATATCTACCTTACCATACAGAGTGTTATATGTAACTACTATACATATTAATAATGTGTTATATGTAATTAATTATAAATAATGTATAGAGACATATATGCACATATATCATCCCAGTTACAAAAACCTTCAGCATTGACTCCTTTCTCCTTTCCCTCACATCCAGCCTTTTGCTTAAATTACCGAAGAGACTCCTAACAGGTTTCTCTGCTTCTGCTGGGCTCCCATATAATCTACACAGTAGCAGAAATGAGCCTGTGAGTGATCACAGGCAGATCCTATCACTCTTCCGTTCAAAGCACTCCAAACCGCCCCCCGCCCCCCATGTTAATCAGAGTAAGCTGAAATCCCTCTAATGACCACAAGGCCCTCTTCTCCTACCGCTGCCCTCCCATTCCCCCGACAGCTATACTGGCCCCCTTGCTGTTCCCAAAACAAGCCAAGCATGCACCTGCCTCAGGGCCTTCCACACTTCTCTGTACCTCAAATACTCTTCCAAGATCATCACCTGGTTTACTCCTTCACCAGTAACATCAGGTAAAAATTATCACCCCCGTTTTACAGACAAGGAAACTGAAGCTTAGTGAAGTTCTTTACCCTTGGTCGAACAGTAAGTAAATGGCAGAGGGAGAATTAGGAACATGATGCCACAGTTGGGGACAGGGCCTGATTGCTGTTTTCTTCTTTTTGCTTGCCCTTTCAACTAACTCTTCTCTTTTATGCTTAAAGAAAAATCAAAAGATATGCTAAGTCTTTATTCCTGAATCAAGTGCCACAATTTTATTAATACACATGTGTGTGTACACATGCACGCATGCACACACACACGTGTGGTAGAGATCATATTTAAAGAAACCAAAAAAAAGCAAAATAAAGTTTTCTTATTATGCATACCTTTTCCAAGTTGACCGAAAACCCAGGAATCCCTGATAATTCTCCACCTACTATAGGTTTCTGAGCTATAATAACTCCAAAGGTAGGCAAACAGGAGAAATCGGTGCTTCCTTCATATATAAATTTCATATCTTTCGGTTCCTTGATTGATGCCCCCACGCCAAGGGCATACATAATAGTTTCCAGTTCCGTGTAAGCAGAAAAAAAGGGAGGAAGCTTATGGCCAATGGCTCCAGCCTATGAGAGAGGTGTAGAAAATTATTTTTTCACTGATAATTTTGTCCAATACTTAACATTTTAACTTCTTCAAAACTACCAACTGTTTGCATACCTATTTTGCTTTCAAAGAGATGTGAATAGAATGCCATGTTGGTGAAATCCATGGCATCTCTTAACTGTTTCATTATATTTTAATAGCAAACAATCAGAAAATGTGTAGAAAAGGACTTCATTTACAGATAAGTACTTTTTTATTGTTTGCTTTTTTTTTTTTTAAGATTTTATTTATTTATTTGACAGAGAGAGACACAGAGAGAGAGGGAACACAAGCAGAGGGAGTGTGAGAGGGAGAAGCAGGCTTCCCGCAGAGCAGGGAGCCCGATGCAGGGCTCGATCCCAGGACCCTGGGATTATGACCTGAGCCGAAGGCAGACGCTTAACGACTGAGCCACCCAGGAGCCCCTTGTTTGCTTCTTACCGACAGTTTGTCTCATTTTCAAATTTCCTATATCTGATAATGAGAAGCCCTATTAATCTGGCAACTATTAGCAACTCAAAAATACAAAAAAAAAATTATTATTATGAATGTGTCATAAATAGGGATAGTGAATTGCCCTATAAGAGCTATTGTATAAAATTCACTGTAAAGAGATGAGCAAAACACTGCATAATGCTTGTAAATGAGACTGCCTCATAATGGTTTTAGTTAAATTGCAATTTTACCTTAAGTTCCTCGCTAGCAATGTCCCTTATCTAATTGATATTGTATTTTTCTACTTAGTTATGATATGTCTAGCTAACATGTAAAGTATGTATTAGGTTAAAAAAGAATGATGTCCCAACTGTTGATCATGTTCATTCTGAAACAGGAGTCAATAAACAAGGGCTGAGAGCTAAGAATGATTTTTACATTTTTTTTTTGTTTTGTTTTGTTTTTTGTTTGTTTTTTTTTTTTTAAAGATTTTATTTATTGATTTGAGAGAGAGAGAATGAGAGATAGAGAGCACGAGAGGGAAGAGGGTCAGAGGGAGAAGCAGACTCCCCGCCGAGCAGGGAGCCCGATGCGGGACTCGATCCCGGGACTCCGGGATCATGACCTGAGCCGAAGGCAGTCGCTTAACCAACTGAGCCACCCAGGCGCCCTGATTTTTACATTTTTAAGGAGTGGTTAAAAAAAGAAAAACAGGAAGAATATGTGACAGAAATAGTATGTGGTCCATAAAACATTTATCATCTGGCCCTTCCCTGAAAAAGTTTGCCAAATACTATTCTAAAGTAAAATCATGGGCACCTGGGTGGCTTGGCTGGTTGGGCGACTGCCTTCGGCTCAGGTCATGATCCTGGAGTCCTGGGATCGAGTCTCACATCGGGCTCCCTGCTCGGCAGGGAGGCTGCTTCTCCCTCTGACCCTCTTCCCTCTCGTGCTATCTCTCATTCTCTCTCTCTCAAATAAATAAATAAAATCTTTAAAAAAAATAAAAAATAAAAAAATAAAGTAAAATCATATTTATAACCTGATCATATTCTTAGGGTTAAAATTAGATTGTTAACTTTATCACTATGTTTGCCCTGAGTCACAAAACTCCAAAATCAAATGCATCAAATGATTTATTTCTTACTATTTATGCACTATAATTTTTTGTTTAAAGGCTAAATACGGGAGACAGTAAATCAGGGAACTTTACATGAGCTATAACCACAGTTCTATTAGAATTTCGGACACAATGGGAGGTTCTTTATTTGCAGCCATGTTGAAATAGTTCCAAAATACAATCTATTGATGCTTTCCCTGAGAAAAAAAAAAGGGGGCTCCAAAGGGGCACTTAAATAGATATCCTTTTCTAAAAAGTTAGAAAAATAGTAACTAAAGTAGGCTTATCAACAACAGTACAAAAAGTGGGGGGGGGAGTACTTGTCTAATTATACTAAAGAAGTAAAAGTAAAAATAACTAAATAAATTAATTAATTAAAAATTAAAAAAGAAATAAAAATTAGACAAGGCTACATCTTAGCTTTATGATCATTCAAATTCTATAACTATTCGGTACATATTTTGTAAAAAGTTTTGTCATCACTTATCTTTCCTATTTAACAATAAATTAGTAGCTTGGAAAATAATATTTTTTGTGTGAAAGAAGAGAAAAGAGAGAGAAAAAAAGAAAAGAGAGAATCTTCAGAAAAAACAGAGGATTCTCTCCCCCACTTACAAATTCCGATGTAGCTGTTGATGCTGCGTGACTCGTAGGATTTGTCAAAACTCCTCTCTCTGAATCTATTTTATTCAGAACTCCAATTATACTGCCAATTGATTCTAAAAAAATAATAACAACAACAATGATGCTTTTGTTAAAGAAGTGACTAAGAAAAGCTATCGACGTGCTCGCTAATCGCTCCTATGACATTGGGCAAGCCTGCCACACTACTGAATGAGAGGTCGGGCTATTACAGGAAAAAACCGTCAAAGACTTTGAAACAGACCAAGGGTAAGTGGGGGTTTTCATTGGAGAACAAGGCACCGTCCAGCATACTCTTCCTGGATTATGAGTCTAAGGAGGTTCTGAGCTTCGCAATGTCTTTGACGGTAGACTGGGACCCTCGACCAGAGACATGCAATTTTTGGTAAAGGAAAAGCTAACTTCCCTTTTCTCCCCACCACCACCCCCTCCTCCGGGATGGAACAATGGCAAGATTACCCCTGAGCCCCCCACGTCTCAAGTGATAGCTCTGACGACAGTACTAAAAATTCTTTCAGGGAAAACCATCACTATGACCAGAGATTCCTGACAGGGTTCAGAAGCTGCTGTTGTGGGGTCAAAAAGGTTAACGAAGGAGATTCACGGGGCATCCACATAGGCCATAAGGTTCCAAAGACCCCGGGACTTTTCTAACAAACCCTGGCACTATGGGCCTCCTTCCAAACTCGGACAAAACCTCTAAGCAAACCACAGAATGCGATGTGATCAGGGAAATCTGCCATTCCTGGCAACACTAGTGGAGAGGCTTGGGGCCACTGAATCGGACGATTCACCGCCCCATTCAGACTGCTGCCAGAGGGAGGCTTGTAACTGAAAGTCACCTTGCTACAGGCTGAAAGTACAGCACCCAGACACAGGCAGCCTGAGTTAACTCGGCTCAGATGCTGAGCAAGCTTGGGCTGATCACTGCATTTGTCGGGGGCTTAGTTGTGTCATATGTTAAGATGAGAACAGCTGTATAGAAAATGTGAGATTTTTCTTCTAACTGTACCTCAAATACTTAGAGGTATTTTTTTCATTTATAACTACATGATTCATTTAGGTAGTTTTTTCTTTATAATACTTTTAAGGCAATAAAGTGGAACTTGGACATCAGAGGAAAGTTTTTATATTTCTTCCTTTTTCCTTTCATTCCTTTTCATCAATGGGTGACTGTTATTCGCAGGCTAAATTTATCTCCAACATCAAAATATGGAAAACAGCAAATGCTCCCATCAACGACTTAACAACGATGTTATTATCATGTGATTGAGAAAGAGCACAATGAGAATTTCAGCGAGTGTACCAGCAGGCCGGAAAGTGTCATCAAGGAGGGAAAAAAAACCAGAATAGTCAGTTTCTCAGATATATTCTCCTACCAAACACTGAATACAAAATTACTAAAAGAAAAAAAGAAAAAGATTTGTCTGTAAATAACCCTGAATCATTATCTTTCCCAGAAAAGTCCATTAAACATCATATACTATATGCATATGTGAGTTATACTAGAAAAAAATGTGACTTTTACTTATTGCTATTCCTGTGAAAGACCACAGAAAACTCAATAATTCATGGTAACAAGCATTTACTGAATCCTTCCTGAGTTCGGCACCAAATACAAGAGCAGTGCATACAAGACACAGTCTCTGCCTCCAAAGGAACATACTGCATAGTTAAGAAACCACATACTTATGAAGCAAAAGCAGCTCTGATGCGATGCCAAGTGGTCAGAGTTGAGCTGAGAGAGACATCAACGTAGCATGAAATATATGGGGGTGGTTTGGTGAACATCCCGGGCTTGAGCTTAGATTTCTAAAGAAGCACTAAAATTAGCAGAGGTGATAAAGGGAGGAAGGGGCGTTTGAGAAGGGGAGAGAAACAGCGGAAAAGACAAAGTGTTAAAACAAAGCAAAATCTACTCACCAGATGGAAAAGAGCTACGCCTAAACAAAATTGGCCTAAACCAACTTCTAGGGCAATAGAGAAAAATCCGGTGAGGTAAAGAGTATATGGTTAGGTAACAGAAGACTCTGAAACGGGCCGTCAGACAGGGAGTAGATGCGTGGAGCATGAAAGGGTGAACACCTCACACCATCCCCAACTTGGACGCCCGCCAAAAAAAATAGGATTACAACAAACCAGGAAAATGGACAGGGGGGCTGATTTATAGATAGACAGATAGATAGACAGACAGACAGACAGACAGATATCTTAAATTTGAAGAGTTCTAATAGCTACCAGAGCAGAAAACGTGCCCTAGTTAAAACAGAAGACAATTCCAAAAGAGCAGAGAACGCTCTGTTGCCTCTGGTTTCCCAGCCGGGAGTGAACGGACTTGGGACTCTACCTTGAATTCTCTGCGGCTTGCTGGCATTATCAAAGTCACAGATCTTCTTCCAGTTGGCCTTCACGGCCTCGGGAGTCATTCGCTGATTCTTCTGTCTCACAATGGCTCCAAGGGCCCGCTCCCAGCGTACTGGTCACAGAAACAAAATGAAGACACTGAGCACAGAGTCTAAGAGGGACAAAGAAAGTAAAATTCATCCGAGCCCTTTGAATTTTTTTTTAACTTTAAGAGAAAGGGAATTCAGGGGCAAAAACAGATTCTAACATCTGAAGAGTTTTATTACTACAAGCCTTTAAATGTATTTTTCTTGAAATAACAAACCCGTTAGGTAATGTGAATTAAAAAAAAAAAAATTTAAGCGGAAGGGAAAAACCTCTCCTCTGACTATGCCAGACACTCCTAAAGGTAGAATGTGAGGCTGAACCAGAAAAATTTAAATTATACATAGAACCAGAAAAATTTAAATTATACATAATCACACCAAAAGATTGACTTCATGACCACAGATCACTCAGGTGGTGATAACAGGTCAAAGACTCCAGATAACCAAATTAATACATCACACAGCACCAAATAATTCTCCCTTGCCCCACCCCCCCCACTTTGCTCTTGTTCCTTTTCCACAGGAAGTCAACTAGAATAGGGCAGATGCACAAAAATCATTAATGCTATAAAAGTTCTAGGAGGAGAATTTTTAATACCGTTTTCTTTTCAAAGAGCCCAAGGAATAAAATAGCCACTAATAACCTTATTTAAACACTATGGTCAGACCTTGACGATTATTAAACTGAAGATCCATTTCAGGCAATAACAGAAAAGCCTGCTTCTAGAGCTTTCCTATTGATAAAGTCCCAGAGAAAGCTTTTATTTCAACAACTGATTTTCTTTCCAAATGGCTATCCCAAAACACTTATACTGAGCAATGCTTAAATAGTATATGTTACTTTAATAAGCAAAAAGAACAGTCATTAATGATGAAAATATTGATACTCTGGGGCGCCTGGGTGGCTCAGTTGGTTGGGCGACTGCCTTTGGCTCAGGTCATCATCTTGGAGTCCCAGGATCGAGTCCCGCATCGGGCTCCCTGCTCGGCAGGGAGTCTGCTTCTCCCTCTGACCCTCCTCCCTCTCATGCTATCATTCTCTCTCTCTCAAAAAATAAATAAAAATCTTTAAAAAAAAAATAAGAAAATACTGATACTCTTATCTTATAACAATACCCTCCAATAATGACCACCTTTTAAATAACTCAATTAATTTTGATACCAGCAGCTAACTGAAAACTTGATTTGGGATACTGGAATTTTCACAATATTTTTTTAAATGTCATGAAGCAATTATCCAATTTACAGCACAAAATATTTGAGAGCCGGAGAAAGAGAGGGTTGAAGAGAGGAAACACTGAGTTTCCTACTGGACTGAAGTGGAATAATTTCCAGACATCAACTGCAATTTCTGTCTCAGCAAGTTGTCCACTGTGATTCCTCACTGTCACCTCCTGTTGCCTCATGGCCCCAAGGATGAAAAGTATCCAATAAGAGAACGGGAGAATCTTCCCGCTGTGCCATCGAGCACAGGGCTCTCCCCAGCTTTTCCAAACAGTCCTCTCTCCCACTCACTTCTGTGCAGAAACAGCGAGAACCATCATGTGGGACGCCAGAGATACAGGAGGACAAACACCAATATAAAAAGAGACCGTGCTGTCTGAAGGAACAGACAAGTCCTGAATAAGAGCTGCTGACAGGAAAAACAACCACAAAAACTAAAGTTTCTTGAAAATGCCAAAGGCCTGCAGAACAGCTTCCACATTTTAGAATACCTGTTGGTAGAACCATGTTTGAGTATGAATATGTGTGCATGAGCTCCAAGAGTGAGACATTTTGGCAAGATCTTTACGCAGCTCCAATCGGATGTGCGGGGTTAAAAATACAGAAACAACGTACAGCAAACCAAACACTGAAGGAGACTTACGTTTTCCAATCCATCCACCTCCAACCTACCAAAAAGAAGAAAACACAGTTATACCATCAAGAGTGAAATCACTCGAAATATAATTAGAAAAACAGGCATCTACCTCTATAAGAGTATTAGAGGGCTAGATCACAGTGAATGAAAAGAAGACAGCCCTACAAAAGCCCAGTGACCTCCAGGACTGAGCGACATTCATCTTATCAGAGTAGAAATACAAAGCACAACAAGGTAGTAGAAACGTGAACGGTGGAAAAGCAGGCCTGACGTCAGAAAACAAGGCTTTGTACTAATTTCTTCTACTGACTAGTTGTGTGACCCGCATCAAATTATCTGAATTCCCTAAATCCAAATTTCCCCTTATGTAAAATAATGAGACTACTCTTCATGAGATAACCATGAAGGTGAAACAATATAAAATAGTAAAACTGCCTAGCACAACACAGACGTGAAAGAACACATCCCTCTAGACGGTTCTCGTGAATAAAAAAATAAAAAGGAGAGAAAAATAAAAGTAGGGCTTGACTTAATGAACTACGTATAGTCATTTTAATAAAGCATCTTTATAGAGAGAAGGCAAATGACCAAATACATTAACTGCTACCTGGAAAGATTTTTTTCTAGAGGTCATACAAGGGAATCCCCAGAGGAGAGTGATTAAAAAAAGAAAAAAATCTTGTTGTCAATCTTCAAGCACAACTACAGTGTGCTGGAATTTATCCTGAGAATTCCGCCTGAACAGGACAACAGAAAATGTATCAGTAGACAGAACACATCTTAGGGCTCTCGGTCAAGTATGGTTTTTTATCACCCTTTGCCTCTGTGTGAATATGCCCACAACTTTTACAATAGACCCATCAGTCCTGATGCTGGCAGAGTACACACATCAATAGTGGTTTTATGTAAAAGACAAGAGAGAGATCATATTTTACCATATTTGGGGAGTGAAGCAACAAGGTGTAAGCTCCTCCCAGGCGCTGAGCCAAAGAATCTCTGGCTTACACTTCTAGATACCTCTCAGAACGTTGCAAACAAAGTGGCAAAATTTATTTTCAAGGTTTCAGTCAGAATATCACAGATGTTTCTTACTACATTTTATCAATCATGCACACCAAAGGTTCCTCACTAAAAATGTTCACAACATAGTAAAAGAGCAACAACATATTAAACTTCATCTATAAAATGACCTTGTTGTCTCCGTAGGTTTGGCTGTGTATATAAAATGCAGATCTAAGAAAAGAGATCATTCATATAAGATGCACATCTAATAAAAAGCCTGGAAGGATACAAAAAAATACTAATAGCAGTTATCTCTAGATAGGGGTAATGCTGACGAATTTTATTTTCTTCTGTACACTTCCCAGTATATTTTAAGTTTTCTACAAAGGCATGTATGATTTTTGTCCACAGAATTAATAACAAATGTAAATATAAAACACAAAAAGTTTTAAAATTCCTTAATGCTATAAAAGACAAGTAGGCCAAATTCTGAGCCCCAGGTAGCTTAATACTACTAAATTTGCAAAGGTCTTATAAAGTTCTTTCCACCTCTAATTTTCCACAATTCACATTCAATGGCTGTGATGAGGAAGTGAGGGCACACACTTCTGCTTAGACATATGCAGACTGTTTTTAAGCAGCTTTTTATTCAAATGCATCAGATTAATATAACGTTCACTTCAAACTAAGCCAGCTTATTTTGCTACCAAGATATATTTTTGGATTTCCTAGTATTCTTCATAAAAGACGTTCATTATTACCACAGAGAATAAAGTAAGGGTTGGGGGCGGCGATCTAAAATATAACACTTCTAGGAAAAAGGAGATCACACCCAAATGAGGAATAAAAGATGTATAAATTGGCATAAAGAAATCTAAAAGGACTTTGTGGAGTGAAAACTGGATCTCACTGGATGTGTGCTTTTTATTTTTACAATAAACATTCAAAGCTCTGCAACAAGGAAAAATGGAAATGTTTATTTTTAAAGTTAAAATAATAAGTTATGTTTACTGATATATGATACCCAGACTAAACTTCTGCTATCGTGCTATAATAGTTACAACTGAAGTGTGACTGATTTTTCTGTTTTGTTTTCAAGATTTTATTTATTTGACAGAGAGAGCGAGAGAGCACAAGCAGGGGGAGCAGCAGAGGCAGAGGGAGAAGCAGGCTCCCCACTGAGCAGGGAGCCCGACGCGGGACTCAATCCCAGGACCCTGGGATCATGACCTGAGCCGAAGGCAGACGCTTAACTGACTGAGCCACCCAGGCGCCCCTTCAGTGTGACTGTTACATACTAGATCCAATGCCAAAATTTTAAAAATATGATTTTGGGGCACCTGGTGGCTCAGCTGGCTAAGTGTCCAACTCTCAGTTTCAGCTCAGGTCATGATCTCTGGGTCATGAGATCAAACCCTGTGCCAGGCTCCATGCTCAGTGTGGAGTCAGCTTTAGATTCACTCTCCCTCTCCCTCTGCCCCACTCCCGCTTGCACTTTCTATGTCTCTCTCAAATAAATAAATCTTTTTAAAAAATAAAAATATGGGGCACCTGGGTGGCTCAGTCGGTTGAGCGGCTGCCTTCAAAATTCAAAACTCAGCCTCGCTGACTCTAAACCCTACTCTTTATCCTTCTACTGCAACATCCAAGTTCCCAAACTGAATAAAACTTTCTCCATTTGAGTAAACACATCAAACCAGCCATGTTTTTATTTGGTAAGAATACTAGAAATGAAGAAATAAGGAAAAAGAGAAGGTATGAAGTTGCTTTTACTTCTTCTAGGAAAGACATTCATCAACATTTGTTCCTTAGTTAACCATGATAATAAAAAAGACACAAGTGATACCAACTCTTACAGATGTTTACAAATGTGAGCAACTGGAAAATATTAATGCTTCGACCATTTTTTACATATAACACACAAGTACTGCTTTGAGAGAAAGCAGGAAGGTGTGGAATACCTCAAACAAGCTACCATTTTCCTCACAGCTCTCATGGCAAAGCCAAAGGACCAGGGGGGCCACGTAATCCGGCTTCAGAGCTTCCATGAGATCTGAAAGAAAGACCAAAAAAAGGTTATGAACAAGAATGTCTACATACTTAATCAATGATTGTGCTTTCTGAAAATTCCTTCCTTATAAATTATAGGTAACTCAGAGACTTGTTAAATAGATAAGAACAAAATTAGATCTATATAATCAATCAGCCTAACATTCAAAGCTTCTGGAAGAACTGCTGCATCCCAATGGAGATATTCCAAAAGCTCCCTCAAGCTTCTTAGAAAGTAACAGACACACCTTTCCAAGAATGGTAACATACCATTCAGGTGAAGACAAGTTAGAGCCACCTAGGGAGTAAATAATGGACAAAACTCTATTTAACATGAGGAACTGAAGTACCATTCATTCCCAAAACCATTTCATTCTCCCAGCAATTTAACCAGAAGCCAGGAAACTACACAACAGCATTAACAACTGTAATGGCAGTAAGACAATGACATGAAATGCAACCATTCTGATGAGTAACAGTGTAAGAAGTATTTTCCCAGTGCACGCTTTTCTATGAGCAACTTAACAGAGTAGAAAGGAACTGGCATACCTTGGAGATATTGTGGGTTTGGTTCCAGACCACCACAATAAAGCAAATATCCCAACAAAGCTAGGCAAGTGAATTTTTTGGTTCCCCATTGCATATAAAAGTTATGTTTATGCTATCCTATAATCAGTTAAAGTGTGCAGTAGCATTATGACTAAAATAAAAATGTACACATCTCAATTTTAAAATACTTTATTGCTTAAAAATGCCAACCATCACCTGAGCTTTCAGTAAGCTGCAATGTTTTAGCTAGAGGATGGTCCTGTCTCCATGTAGATGGCTGCAGACCCATCAGGGTGGTGGTTGCCGAAGGCTGTGGCAATTTCTTAAAATAAGACAATGCAGTCTGCCTCATCGATTAATTCGGCCTTTTACAAACAATTTCTCTGTAACACGCAATGCTGTTTAACAGCATTTTACCCACATGAGGACTTCTTTCAAAATTGGACTCAATCTCTAAGGCCCTGCTACTGCTCTATCAACTAAGGGTATGTCATGTTCTAAACCCTGTGTTGTCGTTCAAGAGTCTTCACGCCATCTTCCCCAGGAGTAGATTCCAACTCAAGAAGCCACTTTTTCTGCTTATCCGTAAGAAGCAACACCTTATCCATTCAAGTTTTATCACGAGATGGCAGCAATTCACTCCCATCTTCAGGATCCACTTCTAATGCTAGTTCTCTTGCTGTTTCCACCACATCTGCAGTGACTTCCTCCACAGAAGTCTAGAACCTCTCAAAGTCATCCATGATAGCTGGAACCAACTTCCTCCAAACTCCTGTGAATGTTGATATTTTAACTTCCTCCCACAAATCACAAATGTTCTTAATGGCATCTAGATGATGAATCCTTTCTAGAAGGTTTTGAATTTATTTTTCCCAGATCCATTAGAGGAATCACCATCTATGACAGCTATAGCTTATGAAATGTATTTCTTAAATAATAAGACTTAAAAGCTGAAATGACTCCTTGATCCACAGGCTGCACAATGGATGATGTTAGCAGGCCTGAAAACAGCAATGATCTCCCATACCTCCACCAGGGCTCTTGGGTGAGCAGGTACATTGTTAATGAGGAGTAATATTTTGAAAGGGATCTTTTCTTTCGAGTACTGGGCCTCAATAGTGAGCTTAAAATATTCAATATTAAAGTTCTTGAATATTAAAATATTCAATAAACCATGCTGTCAACAGATGTGCTGTCATCAAGGCTTTGCTGTTCCATTTATAGAACCCAGGCAGGGTAGATTTGGCATAATTCTTCAGGGCCCTGGGATCTTCAGAATGGTAAACGAACACTGGCTTCAATATAAAGTCACCAGCTGCATTAGCCCCTAAGAGAGAGTCTTTGAAGCTAGGCCAACTTCTCTCTAGCTATGAAGATCCTAGAGGGCATCTTCTACCAATAGAAGGCTGTCATGCCTGCATTAAAAATATTTTGTTTACTGTAGCCACTTTCACGTGCCTGCATTGAAAATATTTTGTTTACTGTAGCCACCTTCACGAATTGTTTTACTAGATCTTCTGGATAATTTGTTGCAGCTTCTGTAACAGCACTTAGTGTTTCACCTTGCACTTTGATGATACTGAGATGGCTTCTTTCCTTACACCTCACTGGCATTATGAAGTGGTGGTGTTTTCTTCAGAGAGGATTGGTCTTTGCTACTGTTGGTAAACAGGAGACACAGCCAACCTTGGACTACTTCGGTGTTCCTTGAGCGTTGAAGTTCAGTGTAGAACACTAAAGGCTCAGGACACCGTCTTGATGCTGGCCTGCCTCTAAGTATCTATATATTAGCGCTGTTACTGGTATCTGTATTCAGAGTAATCTTGTCTTCACTGTAGTGCAGAGCTAAGGACTATTTTCCTTATTTCTTTCTGGTCGAGGGATACTTTATCTCAGCAATGCTTCAAAAATCTAATTTCTGGCAACAGAAGGGTTCTTCAGAGTATGTGGCTTACTGGAATGCTAGAAATCCTGTCATCTGGTATTGTGGAAGAAACACTCAATTGAGTAATGAATCTTAAGGTTTAATTCTGTTTTCTATGAGCTTCAAACTTTTCTTCTGCAGCTCCCTCACCACACTCAGCCTTCACAGAATTGAACAGAGTTGGGGCCTTGCTCTGAATTAGGCTTCGGCTTAAGGGAATGCTGGGGCTGGTTTGATCTTCTGGACAGACCACTAAAACTTTCTCTGTATCAGCAATAAGGCTGTTTTGCAGGGCACCTGAGTGGCTCAGTCAGTTAAGCGTCCGACTCTTGACTTCAGCTCAGGTCATTACGGTCTTGGGGTTGTGAGATTAAGCCCCGCTTTGGGCTGCTCGCTGAGGGATGAGCCTGAGAGTCTCTATGCCCCTCTCCCACCCCGCTCACACTCCATCTCTCCTTCAAAAAATAAATAAATAAATAAAAATAAAAATAAAGCTGTTTTGCTTTCTTATCTTTTGTGTGTTGACTGGAGCAGCACTTTTAATTTTCTTCAAGAACTTTTCCTTTGCCTTCACAACTTGGCTAACTGTTGGCACAAGAGGCCTAGCTAGCTTTTGGCCTACCTTGGCATTTGACATCCCTTCCTCACTAAACTTAATCATGTCTAGCTTTTGATTTAAAGTGAAAGACATGTGATCTTCCTTTCACTTGAGCACGTATTGGCCATTATAGGGTTATTAAGTTTAATTTCGGGAAACAGGGAGGCCTGAGGAAAGGGAGAGAGATGGAGGAATGACTGGTTGGTGGGGCAGTCGGAACACACGCAATATTTATTGAGCTCTCTATCTTCTATGGGTGTCTTCTATGTGACACCCTAAAACATTTACAATTGTAACATCAAAGATCACTGATCACAGACCACCGTAATAAATATAGCAATAATACTACAAGATGACCAAAATGTGACACAGAGACATGAAGTGAACAAATGCTGTTGGAAAAACAGTGCTAACAGACTTGCTTGATGCAGGGTTACCACAAACCTTCAATTTGCAAAAACTGCAATTTCTGTGAAGTACAACAAAGTAAAGCTCAATAAAATGAGGTATACCTACTCTACACAGGAGTAAGAAGACCTGGATTTTACCGCTAGCCCTGCCATGTACATAAACATAGGACTTGGGGCACATCACTCAACCCCCTGGACGCGTAACTTCACCAGAAAGATGCTAATTAAAATACTTTCCCTGCCTATTCCACCAACCTGTTCCAAGGCTCAAGTGAGATATGATTTGTTAATATACCTTATAATCTTTAAAGAGAAATGACAAAATAGAATTTTAGGTTAATATGCTAAAGCAACAAAGATGACATTTACAATCCCTGTAAATTAAAGAGCAGCTCCAAAAACTTTTTGCTTTATAGCCTCTAAAATAGCTCTCAAGTATGAAAAAAAAACAGTGGCACACTTGTCTCCATTCCCTATTATACAAAGGTAGACTCCAACCACCTCAAGTTACACGAAAAAGCAAATTCTTAACCTGTATACCATTCATCTCAATACATACCATTCCTCTCATTTCTCTTATGTATCAACTGACAAAACTGAAAGTTAGATGATATCTATGTAGATTCACATGGTTGAGGTGACTAACTTTATACTGAATGCAACAACAACAAAAAACGCATTTATGAAAACCAACTGAGCATATATTACCTTAGGTGAGAAAAAAGAATAAAAGAACAAAAGTCACATAGCAAAAACACTTCTGCCTTGCATCTTATTTCACATATTATCACTAACAATGTTAAGTAAATATGCTGCTTTCCAGTTCTCCAAACATATCCCAAATTTTCTAGTTAACTCACATCTTATTAAACTCAATTTTACAAGGTTTAAGGGGGTAAGTGAAATTCCTGAGAACTACCATAGCTAATACATACAAAGTTATGTGAAAACAGAATTAAACCTTAAGATTCATTACTCAATTGAGTGTTTCTTCCACAATACCAGATGACAGGATTTCTAGCATTCCAGTAAGCCACATACTCTGAAGAACCCTTCTGTTGCTAGAAATTAGATTTTTGAAGCATTGCTGAGATAGAGAAAGTATCCCTCGACCAGAAAGAAATAAGGAAAATAGTCCTTAGCTCTGCAATGCAGTGAAGACAAGATTACTCTGAATACAGATACCAGTAACAGCGCTAATACATAGATACTTAGAGGCAGGCCAGCATCAAGACGGTGTCCTGAGCCTTTAGTGTTCTACACTGAACTTCAACGCTCAAGGAAGACCGAAGTAGTCCAAGGTTGGCTGTGTCTCCTGTTTACCAGCAGTAGCAAAGACCAATCCTCTCTGAAGAAAACACCACCACTTCATAATGCAGAATAAACACAGATTAAGATGAGACAAAGAGCTCATGATTAAAAATCACCAAGAACACATGAAGGAAAACCACCATGAGTGAAAATCAAAAGAAACAAACAGATTTAAACTACAGTGAGATAGAGATGTTGGAATTTAAAATATA